CAGTTCTTACCATTTTTAAAAATTAAAAATCTTTTTTTTTTAAATCTTAGAAGACATGTGCAGGTGCACTGATTGTGCTGAACTGTTAATAAAATGGCTATATTTGCGATGTAGACATCAAGACGCCTGGTTACTATGACCACTGAAAAGAAAAACGTGAGTCAGTACATTTCTCTACAATGCACCATTTCACAGCAAAACACTCTGAATGACTTTGTTTACATCTCAAACACTGAACTATGGTGAAATTTTGGACAAAACTGGTGGAATTCCCTTCTAAGTAATAGTCACAGCACTTTATTCATCCAACAATTTAGACATTTTTTATCATTTGAATTTCATTAAGCTTATTCAGCTTTTCATGCTACCAAGCATCTGTATGACAGTGATGTCCTATTAGAAAGCTACTGTTTAAAAACTTCATACAAGTCACAAGAGAGCGGGGCAGGGCCTTAACTAGAATCCATTCTAGTTATTAGACCATTAGAGGTCCATTCTGCAAAAAAGTGACCTATATCTCACATTCTTTCTATTTAATCATCCAGAACTGCATTGCACCTTTTCCTTTCATTTATTCCTTTCCCATCCCTCCATTCTTCCATGAACTGCTTACTGTTCCATAAATTTATTTGACTCCAGTTACCATGTTTAAGTGTAATTAATTCATTTTACTAAATCAGGTGACAGCTTCACATTTACCCGACACTCTCTCGCTCTCTCTCTCTCTCTCTCTCTCTCTGCTTGTCTTTTTTCTCTCTCTTTTTCAGTCCTCACAGATTACTGCAAAAGTCTAAAAGTCTGTCTCCACCAAACCCCAGCTAACAGGAAGGTAGGCTACTCATACAGTTAAAATACAGTCAAATGATTTTTTAACTATGTTACATGACATCAATGTGCTAGTTTACAGTGAACATTCTCATGCTTGTTGTAGTATGTTATAATTGGAACGGAAAAACTTCTCATCTACTTGCTAATTTCTCACCTACTTGGTAATATTGCCAGCTAGAGAACCTGTAGCCTAAACTGAGCAGCTACTGAAACTGATAATGAAATGAAGGCTTCAGGCAATGGTGGAGAGCAATGGTTGCTAAGCAGTGATTGGAGGGGTGAGGAAAATATGTCAGAACTTAGCAGATTTACTTACTGACCAACCATAACACAGTGAAAGTGCTCGCAAATTTACTAACTGACCGACCATTATACAGTGACAGCGCTCACGGAAAACAATCAAATCCGATTATCTTCAAAAATATGATCACATCCCAGCATAGACTACCACGTTAACAGCACGGCGCTGGTTTCACATTAAATCTCATGAATGGAGATACATGAAAAAACCCTTCTGAAACTACCATGATCCAGACCTCTGTGTCCTCACAGCTACTTATGGCAATGGAGGGGGTTTTGCTGAGTACTAGCAACCGGAAAACAAGTAATCCTCACCAACCTCCAGGCTGAATCTTAGTTTCACTATGAAATTCATCTCCAGAGAACATCTGTACTGTTCTGCATGTATGGACATGTACCACAGTGTATGAGGAAGGTCACTTCAGGATGGCTTGGTCCACCACGCAGAAGGTGCACCAAGGCTTTGTGCCAACATAATGGGGCCCAATCTTCTGCTTGTCCACTTTGGAATGGTAATGTGCGGGTTGCCAGGCGAGCGCAGCGCCTCTTTAGATCAGCATCTGATGGAGGTACATCAATAATTCAAATCGCTGTCTGCCTTGGACGAGGGAACAAAGAGCAGAGCAGCCTCCAGGCCCACAGTGTGGCCAAGCCCAATCACATACTGTACACCTGCCATATTAGGACCCTTAAAGGGACGGAGACTGATGCTGCACTCCGGTACAAAGCAGAGATAGCAGTGATACTTCAACTTAAAGACGTTAAGGCAAGACAAGCAGTCGTATTTCAAACGTTACTGATATGAAAGCACCTCGCTTAAACAATTCTCCCGATTATTTTTATCTCTAAAATGTCATTGATAAAAGGCAGTACGGGTTTTTTTGGCTCACCACAATATTGCTATCTGAGCAAGGTTCTCAATCTCAATCTGAACGTTTTGTACAGCCAGTTACACTGAAAAAAGTGATACACTGAATTTACTCAAACATGTACGTCATTTCAACATTAATAAAGTATATTACAACAACACAATGCCTGCCAAAAGTGTGTAAACTGAAAGGTATTGTGTTGATGCACTGTATTAATGTGGAAGTACACATTTAAATCAAGCAAATTCAATGCATCATTCTTTCCAGTCTACATTGATTAACTTATGTATTACTAAATAGTATCTAATCAAGTGAACCCAACAACAGGAAACCCTGAAGGTGCTGCATTTTTTACAATTTGTCCATGGTATCAAATTGATTAAAGGGGAATTCCACCAATTTCTCAAAATTCCTGCATAATGATATAATCATTAAGTTGTAACTGAAGTTGATGTGAAGTGGTTCATTATAGAGAAACTTACCTCAGATTAACTCAAGATTGATTTACAGCGGTGGTGGCAGGAAACGGATCGCTATGTTTACAATGCAAATATAGCCATTTGTTTTGCTATCCGAAACAACCATACATGAGTTTTTTCATACGTTTTTATACGTTATACTGATAATGGAAAAGTGTTAAATCACTCAAAATTATCGTTAAACAGTGTTTCAGGCTTCATTATTCATACCTATTTCATGCAACAGCTTTCTGTGATGAAGTCTTTAGAGGTGGTAAATGCTCCAGACGTCTGGTTCCTATCACTACTACTGTAAACAATTTTAAATTGGCATGTTACTATAAAACGGAGCATTTCACATTAAATCACTCGGAATGAGGTTTTTACATCCTAATGATTAAAATATGAATAAATGTTAAACAATCAATGAAATTCCCCTTTAATGCTGAAGATGAACTGCTGCACTGCAATAATGCTTGATTCACCAAATACTACATACAGTATGTGGCCACAGTAGCAGTACAGTCTGTTCTCAGATATTTTGGCACTTTAACATCCAACTGCTAACCTCATGAGAGTGACCAGGACCAGCTGAACCTGGACCAGCGAGACACCTTGCCTGTCTTGCTACTGAAATGAAAGTGCAACCTGATCTTATTTCGTCTGGCCATTTACCATCATGAGCGCAATATGGCTGTGCGCAGCTGCAGTCTATGACACGCTGTGCACCCTCTCTTGTCGTCTCTATGCAACCACCTTATCTGAACATTGATCAGAGGCCTATGCCGCTATACTGAACCTGCTGACATCACAGGGGAAGAAAATGACACACATACACAGTCACACATGGCAAAAACAATGGGGATTAGATGAAAATCAAGAGATACTGGGGGACTTTTCGTGCTAGGGCTTGGCAATATGACAATATACACTGTTACTGTGATACATTATGTTACAATACAATATCCTGGTGGATATTGTCATACTTGTAGAACACTGACCAACTGCATGTTTCATTATAAACAGAGCAAAATTAGTCCCATTTAACTGGATACAGTGTGACACAGCATGCAAAATATTCAATAAAAATCACTGTGTTCACAATTTTTGATACTATTTTTTAAATGTAGCACTACTGGTTCTTTTTTTTCTTTGTTCCAACCAATCAGATGTCTGAAAAAAACAAATAATGTGACATATTATGCATCATGAAAATTTCTTGAAGTAATGCGATATTATACTTTTGCCATATCGCCCACTTCTAATACTTTCTATAGAAACCAAAGCACCTAAGGTTTATAATGGACATCAGTCATAACACATAAAATGCAGTTATCTATCCTGTACTTTCTCTCTGCGTTTACCTTAAATATGCTATGGCATTCAATACAATCTATTCTGTACGACTATGCTACATTGGAATCACTACATCTAATCCATCAATACATACCCACCGAGTCTTTGTCATTCATTTTAAACCTATTGTGATATTCTAAAGATCTTAGAGATGTTCTGTATGAATGTTCTTTGGAGCTACAGAGTGCATCTCAGACATGACACATAAGACACAGCTGTCTATGCATTTCCCCCTGTTTCACTTCTCATTCATCTGACATTCATGAAAGAAAGGAGATGTTTCCTGAGACCCAAAATAACCAGTATTACGCAGGAAAGGATCAAGCAAAAGCACTTCACAGCACAGTGGGTTAAACTACAGCATCCATACTCTGGTCCTGGAGCGCACCTGGATCCTGCAGTGCTTAGAGCAGGTGTCACCAGTCTTGTCTGCACAGGGCCAGTGCGGCTGCGCAGGAACATACATAAATCCACTTGTGGCCTCAGTCTTCAGACAGTTGGTGAGTTATATGAGGTGTAATTCTGCTTGGTTGGAATTAAAACCTGCAGCCTTACCGGCCCATTGATTAAACTGGTAACCCATGATCTAAATTAGAGGTGGACAACTCTGGTCCTGGAGGGCTTGTGTCCAGCACAGATTGGTGATTTATCAGCTCAACCACACCTGAGTACATTCATTTGTTAATTGCCAGGACACCGGCCCTCCAGGACAGCAGATGTCCTTCCCCGCCTGTATCTAAATATTAGAACCCTCAAAGTATTAGAGGGTCCCTAACTCTGAAGGGGCTTGATATTTAGCTGATTAGTTGGATCAGGTGTGCTGAGAGCAGGAGGTCTCCAGGACCAAAGCTGGGGATCACTGAGTCTGAGGAGGACAACAGACACCAATATACACACTGTAACCAGAAGCCAAGGGTGAATGTGTGTGGGGTCTCAAACTGTGGTCCTGGGGGTCCAGTATCCAGCACAGTTTGGTGTTTTCTTTGCTCAAACACACTAATCGGTTATTATCAGGTCTTCGAACAGGGAAATGACCAAACTCTGCTGGACCAGTCTCAGACCAGAACAGCACTGACCTCAAAGGTGCACATCATATCCACATGACATTTATTACAATACAATTAATAGACTGGTGCAAATTTGAATCACGTCAGCTGAATGAGTGAAGCAGAGGGGACCAAGCACGTACCCAGTCCTCGAAGTGCTTGCTGCCGTTCTGCAGCAGCTCCTCAAACTGGATGGTGCAGTTGGCCACGAAGTCGTCGTAGCCGATGGGCGCGTCGTGGAAGACGGACAGCTCGATCTTCTTGCCGCCGCGCACCTCTGTGACGAACTCGTCGTGCCACGCGGGACTATTGGTCTTCTGCTTGGTACTCGTCTGACCCACTCGCGAGTCGTCCACGTTCAGCGCGATGTACGTGTCCAGCAGGAAGCCCTGCGTCTTGGGGCCCACGGCATGGCGCAGCGACCAGGCGGTGGGCTTCAGATCCAGCGCCTCGCAAATCTTTATCTTCAGCACGCCGTTGAAGACCACCATGGCGGCGGAGAGCGTGTCGCGTATAGGTCCTTTCTTCTTCTTAGGCCAAAAGCTGGGGGCCTTAATGTCCCCCCACTAGCCACCCTGCCACCGCGTATCCCGCTCAACAGGGAAAAAAGCTGTCCACCGGAGCCACGACCTCTAGGACGCACCCCCCCACACACACTCCCTGCTGAAACTAACGGTGAAGCCCTGCTCCTCGCTGATCATGCAAAGTCTAGTCCCACAGGCGCTCCACAGGCTTTCACTCTCGCCTTGTTTTCCGCATGTGACCCCCACAGAAACCCCACTCACCATTCGCAAAGAGCGATCATCCAACGTTAAGAAGGTAGAAGAGGAACGCAGCCACGCAGCGAGCCCTCAGAGAACCGTCCAGCAGCAGCTGGAGCCCCTCTTTCCTCCTCAGGCATTTGGGGTTCGCCTGGACTCGCCAAAGCTCAACGCCCAGTCGCTGGGATCGAAGGTTTTGGACGGAAGGATTGGTTACGGTTTTCCGTGCGGTTCTCTCAGCCTCCCCGGCTTGTTTTCTCTGTTTTCTCTCTTCGTCGGCGCTCGATTTCCTGCAGACCTGCCTCTCTCTCTCTCTCTCTCTCTCTTTCTCTCTCTCTCTCTTTCTCTCTCTCTCCTCTCCTCTCCTCCTCCCTTCCCCTCCCCTCCACCAGACTGTGTAAACGGCAGTGCAGGAAATGCGCAAAACGCGTCAGTTTCTGCAAAGCAGCCCTGCGCCAAAATGGGGGGAATGCAGCAGTCCAGGAACGAATCTGCATTTTTTTTCTTTTTTTTTTTTTCAACCCGGCTTATTTATGAACGGTTGGGAAGTTCTTAAAGCCGTTACGCTGAGAAACGCCAGCTGTCTGCTTGTATGTTTCCCTCCCAATACGCAATACGTGCCATGAGCTCATCAGGTGAGTTGTTATTAGATGTCCCTGTTTTGGTACCTACACTCCAGCAGCGCTCATCATAAGGCTACGAGGACAGACCGTTGCCTATAAACAGACGTGGTGCTCGCCAAGTCCATCTTTTTTCGTAAAAACGTCCCACAGTGCCTCACGTAACTATCATAATCTGTTTCTGCTACCTTCAATCTCCTGTGACTCGAGTCTGCGACAGTGTTACTGTCGAGGCTGATGCCGTCCACGCTGCTCAGGTTTGGTCAGCAAGGATTCTAAGACTAACGTCAAACTCGACAGGCCCCAAAAGATACAGACAGACATAGTTAATAACGCATTAACTTCTCTTTCACTTCTCATTCATTGTATATCCAGGATTGCATAAAGACCTGTTGTGTGGGTTGCATGCTGTCCCTCATGTGTTCTGCTAAGGCGCCACCTCGTGGCTGGAATTCTCACTGTGATGTGGGAGCAGACCAGAGCTTTGTTGTGTGGGAGGAACTTCGGGAGGTGCTCTCACGAGGGCGTTGATGGGGATTTCAGTCTGAAAGCAAAAGGCGATGCATATGGTTTAATATCTCTGTTTATAGCTGATATTAAAGGGCCCCTTTCACGGAAAACCGTTTTGAAATAACAGCGTCTGATATAATGTGTTAAAATGTCTCAACGTACCATTCACAGTCCAAACAGTCCATATATGGAAACTAAGCTGCAAAACAGCTCGTATTATGTTCACTGTTTTCGTGACGTCACGAGGCGTGTCTACTTAGTAAGGCGTGGGAATGAGATGATTAAGTTTTGGCCACGACTTAGTAAAGCTTGGGAACGAGATCCTAATGCGTGGCCACGACTTAGCAAGTCGTGATCTCGTTCCCAAGCCTTACTAGGTCATGGCCACAACTTAATCATCTCATTCCCACTCCTTACTAAGTCGTGGCCACGCATTAGGATCTCGTTCCTACGCTTTAATAAGGCGTGGCCACGCATTATTTTTATTTATGCAGGATGTCATCGTCGGGGCTCCGTAAAGTTGTGGCCGTGACTTCATTATCTCGCTCCCAAGCCTTACTAAGTCGTTGCCACGGCGTATTAACACATGGGAACGAGATCCTACTGCGTGGCAAAGACTTAGTAAAGCGGGGAATGAGATAATAAGCCTTGGCCACAGCTTAATAAGGCATGACTTCGTTACCAGACCTTACGAAGTCACACATTACACGTTATTTTTATTCATACGAGATGTCACCAGCAGGGCTCCGTAGAATTGGCTCCGTTGCAGGGCTCCGTAGAATTGGCTCCGTTGCAGGGCTCCGTAGAATTCGGAAAATGGTCATGTAAAAATGATACACAGTAAATAAAACTGTACATACATTAAAAATGAACCTCAGATGGCGATGGGCAGGAGGGGGATAGGACACTTAAGAAACTGGACGTAATCATCTAATTTGCATATACCTATAGGCAAATTGATCTCAATTCAATTACTTTAATTTAAGGTGTTGTCCGTAAATTAATGAAAGTAACTTTCTAATTAATCTACTCGAAATTTGAAAATGGTATCCCAGAGCATTGTTAGGGAAAGTGTGCCTGTTTTTAGTGTCTGAGAGTTTCCTCAATGCCACCAGATGGCAGCATGCGCTCTTTAAACGCAGCCTTGCTTCAGCATGTTGCACCGGTTTCGTCATCCGCAGCGGTTGCATGCATTGAATGCAATGGCCTGTTTTGGTTTTGTAGCCTAATTACACAAAGAGACTCTGGAGATTATAGAGCTCATACCTTGTTTGATCCGAAACATTTCTTTGAAGTATGAAAATGTGATTCTGATAACATACAAGAGAGAGGATGTTTTTCTTGATTAATATTATTGATTCAACATACACAAATCGAAATGTAATAAGAACAAGATTTATTCTTTTGATTCATTACTCTAAGAATAGAAAAGCTATTAAAACTATCTTGATTTTTAATAGAGGCAGCCTTTTAGTTTGAAATGCATAGGTGTACGCTCTGATGTCATGTTGGAGGATTGTGTTCTGTTTTAATAATATTAACAATATGATAATAAAAAGTCAGTGCTCTGTTTAATTCCAGTAGTTTTGTTTTCTATATTCTGTAAATATGCCCTCCACCCCCCACCCACACACACACTTCTTGCCTTTCCTCTTTAATTAGAGGTGTGAGCACATGACTGACAGAAAGTGTTGTTCAGGTGAATGCAAATCCTGTTGGAGCATGAATGGTTTACCTGGAAATCCTAGGAGTGAATGTTAACTTAATATACATAAAAACTGCAAGTCGTGAATATGAGATAAAGTCGTTTCGATCACACGGTTTCATATCTTTTAAAAAACAGGATTAAAAAGGAAGAGAAAAACAGATATAAAAATACACTTAGCCTAAGGCCCAATGAAGTGAAACAAAGACAGATAACTGTCCTTTTTAGAGCCAGCTTACATCACTGCATCAACAATTTCTGAATTTTCTCTGTGATCTCTTTTAGCTCACATTTCCTCTGTGTCAGCCACAATAATTAGATGAGTGCTTTCTGCTGGAACTGAATGGAGATGTTGTTCAGGCAGCGGTGATTTCCCCAGGGCTTGTTCTCAGCCTACAGCGACATTAGTCAAAAATATTCCCTTCACACTAGATGGTCTCACATGAGCCTAGTGTGCAGCACGGCTCCAAACGATGACATCAGCAGTGGGCGAAAAATGAATGCTCCTTTGAGACACTGATAGTGTGGGGTTTTATGGGTGTACGGGCTCCGCGCGGCCAGAATAGAACAGGCCGCTCGACGGGTTTTCGCAGGGCCCTCGGGCGTCCTTCGGCCCACCCCAAGATGCCAGAGACCATGTTCACACTTACTATCATAAAAACCACTTTCAGTGGCTGCCAGAATCAGACAGCAGTTTCCAGAAATCAGACAAGTGTGGACAATGTCTCTTTTGTGCTGTGATAAAGGAGCAGGCCTTCTCCAAATATACTTGCACTTTTATGAATTTTAAAACAACACACAATTGTGTCATTTATTCACTGGTGTGTAAAGAGTCTAAAATCTCAAACATTAATAAGTCTAAAGACCTCACAGATACAGTTAGGCCACACAGGCACTTAAACAGCGCTAACTCTCTCTCTCTGTTTTACCATAAGCTAAAGCCCAAGGTCAGAGATGGCACTTCTTCTTTTCTAATATGACATTGAAGGTTTGAGTATCGTCTGATATCAATATCAATCTGATATTATTTCTATGAAAACAACAAATCTTTAAAATGAGCTGTTTTAACTATTAGTGTTCAATAACACTGGTGTAAAATCAAAGGAGGGTGTGGTGTCCCCTTCTTTTTTTCAAATAAAGCAAGATAATTTTGGGGATGTTGATAAAAGTCAACAGCTGAGTTGCAAAAAAGCTGTCAGATACCAATATCAACACTTCTTTACTATATAATGATCATTTTTTGACTTAGGCCACAACTATTATTAGTCCTTCCTTTTCCTTCTTAATCATCATCATAATTATCATTATTTTTTGCTAAAATATTTACAGCAATGTGCAAATCAAGTGAAGGAAAAAAAAACAGTGCCTGTAATAGGCAGCAACTGATTCTCCATGCTGGATATGCATGGCATTAGTATTCCTGTTATTAATATTTGTTTCAGTGCTTTAATATTGACGTGTAAAGCATGAGAAGTCAGTATGATAAGATTAACTGCAGGCGTACTTCGTTTACACCGTTTTACGTTTGAACTGATCGTTAAACCAAATCTGCTCTCCTGATCATCAGGATGAAGCAGTTCTCGAAAGCTGCACGGACACGTCCGTCTCCGGCTAACAGATGGCTACTGAGCCGCTCTGCATTGTCTCGGATCTCCACGTTTTCAGGATGGCAACCGAGGCGGTGGCCCCCGCCCCCTCTGTTTCTCATTGGCCGACTATCCCGCCCGTCACGTCGCCCTCCGCCAATCGTGTATCTCCGTCTATGTCCACAGTCGGAAGTGCGCCCCCACCCCCGCGCCCCATCGCTGTTTTACCGGAGTCCCCGGCCCGCCCGCGCTCTCCCGAGCCTCGCCACTCGCTCGCTCAGCTGCGCGTAACGGCCAGTGATGGTTCGGTTCACCAAACCGATTCTTTTAAACTGCACGACTCATTAAATCGAAAGCCCGCTTGACAACCACACAGAGCAAACTGGCCACAGTCCAAAGACAGGAGATGTGGGCGAATTTGGAAAAGTTATCATTGATACGCTAATCTGTGAATTTTATTCGATTATATTGTGAAAGGTTATTATTGGTATTTTATTAGTTTTAGCACCCTTTAAAGGGGCATTCCACCGATTTTTTTTTAATGTCTGCACAATTCCGTGTTTGAGATGTAAACGAAGTCATTCAGAGTGGTTTGATGTTAAATAGTTAATTCGTAGAAAAACTTGGGGGCTCAGATTTCTTTACAGTGGTGGTGATGGAACCAGGGGTCCCGAAGTCTACAGCACAATATAGCCATTTTAAATAAAAGAGACTATTTTAGGACTCCTCTCACCACCACTGTGAACAATCGTGACTCGGCAGGTTTTTCTAGAACGAAGCATTTCACACCAAACCAATCTGAACGATTTCCACCTTAACCAGTTATTTACGCAGGAATTTCGAAAAATAGGTTCCCCTTTAACACATACGTAAACGTTACGTAGCACCACGAAAGAACAGTTCGATTCATTTGAACTTGTGAATCGACTCGTCCGATTTCAAAAGAACCGATTCGCTGACGAGTCGGACATCGCCACTAGCGACCGTCATATTGGCTGTCAAGAAGAAGGAAGACACGGGCGAGAGAGAGGAGGCTCTCCAAAGAGCTGGCCCCGGATCAAATGGGCATTCCAGAGCAGCGGAATTATATCAAAATCGAAGTTTTGCTTCGTGCATGTGTGAAAAACGGACCCCGGGAATGAGCAGCGTAGATCTCGCCTCGGGAACGCTTGTGCGGGATAGCTACGAGTCTGACATCTTTTGATAGCCATCTTTTTTACAGACAAAAGAAGGCTACGAAGTGGTAGACCCGCATAGCGGAGGTAAGCGCACTCGTTTAGATCCTCTTTTCAACAGTTTGTTGGCTGAACGTGTCCGTTTTTACCCGTTTCGCCTTTGTGTGAGACGGTTTGCTCGGCTTTGTTAACGTTAGCCTGTTAGCGAACTCTCTGGACTGAATGTAACGGAACGCGAGCGATGTGTCACCGGATTTCCAGCGGTTCTCCTGCGGGCTGCACCTCCTCGCTGTCTGTCTGGAGGAATCTCCTCAAACCGTTGGCAGAAGTTGGCTTGGCTGGTCAAAAATAACAAAATGTGCAGCTTTATTTCTCATTATTCAGGCTTTAGCTGTGGAATATGGACGTTTCAGTACTGCACAGACTGTACAGGCATGTTGAATAAGACCAGCTACTTAACGTTACGCTGCCTGGCTTGGGCCAAGTTTATCTTATTAAAACGTAGCAAAATGATAAAAAATGAGTTTTTCCAACCTCCTTGAAAACCAGGTTATGTTTTATCTGAGCTTATTTTTAAGGTGGCACTCATGTTTCTTTAAAATAATAAGACATTTAAGTCATTTAAATGTTCACTATTTATGTTGGTTACCATAATAGCTGTGTACATATTAGATTGTTGAGGATATTCTCAGTCATTCTTGACTGAGAACTTGAATTTTCCCAAAACAGTGAAAATTGGGTTTCTTTGTTTAATACATAATACAAAAATACCCTTCATGCCGTGGCCCGGTGGTCTTTGGATTTAGGTCTCTGTCTGTGAGCACTGGGTCAGCTTTCTTCCATCCCAGCAGTTCTCAATGACAGCTTTTTGTGTCTCAGTACCACGATTTTTGTGTTTTTCATCTTCTGCCACCTGGCTAAGCTCATAATAAACTTCATAATTACCTGATATCACGAGTCACGTTTGTTAAAGCCAGGATTCCCAGACCTGGGGAGTATTTCACAAAGCAGGATGTCTGAATTAGCCAGATAGTTTAAGCCCAATGTTGAGGATTGTCCCAGTGGCCAGTGTTGAGACTGCCTGGGAATACCAGGTGCTGTAAGCTTTCCTTCTCTTCTTCTATTTTTTGTGCTCTCTTTTATTCAGTACTGAGTACTTGTATAGTGTTTGTATAGTAGCCTGTAGTCTGAGAAGTAGTACAGAGTAGGAATGTCACCATACAGTGTAACTGTCTGTTTCTCTGTGTATATGACGGTAAACTCTTGAATCTTGAATAGAAATGACCCTCAGCTCTTTTCCTTTTGGAAAGGCTTGACTTCAGACTTAACTTGTGTTATCTGGCTGAGCTGAGAAATCATGCTTTGTGAAAAAAGCATGTCTCCCTTCTTTCAGTTTTTGAAAAACACAGTGCTTGAGCTGCACCCTTGTTCTGAAACATGACTTAGATTATAATTAAGGCCCTTATTTGTATTTTTGTTGTTAGAATTTGTCCTAATAACATGTATAAATGTGTAATAAATGAATTGGAGTTTGCCCATAGCAGCTACGTGATGCTAAATTCAGTTCATCAGTGGCCTGTAGCACACAGCATCTACCACAATAGCTGTTCGTTCGCTATTGCGTTGAAGTCATTTTGGGGAAAAATAGGATGCAGAGTTAATTCAGGAACAATGGGAGGGGGAAAGTAGCCTATTCTGAACTATAAAAAGGCTTTTTAAACAGAAAAAAAAATTCATGACGACTTTATAATAGAATAAAGCGATTTAACAGTATATTCACATGTGGTGCATTTACATATGTCATGAAAAATATGAAGAGAGCAAGTGCCATCTGACCTTCCTTGGGCCTGATGCCACAGATTTTTGGCCATATAGACCACTATCTTATCACAAAAATCAAACATCATCCCAAATTTGCATGGTATGTACGTGTCTTGTACATTTGTTCTTTTGATTCTTTGCATCATTGCCTAAAGATAAAACTGTGTTTAGTACTGCTGGCTCTGAGGGGTCTTCCCAACACAATGGTCCTGCTACAGGTGCTACATTTGTAGTTTAATCTTCATGCAAAACCCTCAACAAAGCACCGTTGCTGTAGCACCACCAGAACAGCCTGAACTCAGACATCCTTTTACAGCAGCTCTCCAAAAGTGAGCGAAGTTACCACAAACATCTCATTTATCCTCCTTGGGAAAAAAAAAGTGATTACGCCCTTAATGTTGTCCAAAAGCCAGGCCACTCATCAGGACCCCATGAGGGTAGGCGTGCCGAGCTGAGAGAAACAGCAGAGGATCTTTTTTGGGTTTAATATGGGGCAGCGTTGCTGCAATCTTCCTGCACTCCTCCATTTGGTCTTGCGGAGGTGAATCACCACAGCTACGTCCTTGGTGAGGTCCATTTTTTGCCATATGTGGGCTTTTTGATGTAATTGTTCATCCTGCGGAAATGAGTCATCTTTCATCTCCGTTTTGTTTGTGACGTTTCCATTGTTGTAGTTTAGAGAGTGGCTTGCCATGAACAGCAGTGGCTCGAATAGACTCTGCTAGCCATTGCTTGAAGGCAGTTTTTTTTTCCACTCAGTATTTGTCACATTTTATGAGACAACCTAAAGCTTTTGATTATTGCGTAGGATTATATCACTGCTTACTGGGAAGAAACAGTCACAAGTTGCTGTTAACAATGTTTCTCCAGATGGGAAATGACAGCAGCAGCTCTTCCGTTGAATCACATTCTCATTTTCCTTTGTTCTGTGTGCTGATTTCTGCACTTCTCTTCTTCATATACATACCCACCAACACAAGACCAAAAGCCTTTCATCATACTAGCACTTACACTCTACCATACCTCGCACACCATCGGCCCTTCCTTGCTTGGTTCAGGTGGGGAAAGGGCATAAGTGCTCTTTAATACAGATTTGGCACCAGACTTTCACCTGTTCTTCTATAATACGCAGTTTCTGTCTTTGATGCCTATTTATTATGGTGCCAAGCAAATTAGGAGCACAGGATATTTGAATGGACACAGATTAGTAACCTAACGTCATTTAATTTGACTGCATTTCCAATAAGCAACCGTTCCTATTTGAATAGGGGGGTTTGTCATTCAAGTTGAGGAACATTGTTAAACTGTACACACGAGGGCACGTTAGGTGGTTGGTTAGATGAAGCGCACCTTAGATGAAGCGCACAGCTGAAAATAGTGGTGTTCGGTTCGGAGCCACTTTTCAAACATCTGCAAGTGATAAGATGGACAACTGTTTTGTCCATGTTCTCCGAGAAAGAGTGATGCGCAGCAGTGTGAGGAAATCAAACATGGCTGTGCAGGAGTGTAGAGAAGGACGTGGTGGATGGGCTTTCAAGAGCTACTGAGGTACATAGAGCCAAAGCTACACCCAGTCATAGGATTTATGTTCATGTTAACATGGGCTGCTAGTAATGAGGTGTGAATATAAGTACTAACATTATAATATAGAACTTTTAGCAGCCCACACTGATGCCTGGCACCACTTGGCACACATTGCACCATCCATACAAGGAGGACTTTTTTATTTTTTACATTTTCTTCCCAATTTAGTCGTGTCCAATTCCACCCACTAGTTAAAACACCCCCAATCACATGATACCACTACCACTAGGAGGACAAAGGCAAACGCAGTCATGTGAAGCAAGCCATGGCATCTTTTCAGACTGCCACTTTGGACAGCTGAACACGTTTGGAGGAGAACGCTAACCGCCAGCTTTATTACGTCAGCTAACAGACGCCAGTGCTGCCTAGCATCGTATATATTTATGTATATATAAATAAATATATACATATAAGACCTGTAAGACATATAGGAATCAGAGTCAAGACGGTGAGTCCAAGTCAAGACCACAACCCGGAGTGGCGAGACTGAGACCAACTTAAAGAGTTTTCAGAATATAAAAATGAAAAGATGAAGGGGAGAAAAAAGGAAATGTGTTTGGAGTTAATTGTTATAAATTATCATTAATTATATGTGATATGTTCATGCATAATATTATCTTTTATAATATCGTCTATGAAGTATAAGTATTATATAATCTGAAAGTATCATTTATTACTTTATTTTATAATCTTAGTCCAGCTTTGCGTTGGACGTAGGACGTCTCTTTTCTTCTAAATCGTATTCTGAAAATAAACCATATAAACCAAAAAACACATCCGTTTTTATTACTAAATGAAAAAATAGTAATAGTAGCCTTTGATCTGCCCTCGGGATGTTTGAATTTTGGAACCAATGAACATCAACAAACAATTTACACCGGTAAAGCCCTCATGGAAAGGATGAATTAGATCCTTAACTGGCAGCGAGGGAAAGGACTGTTTTATACTGGTTTGAACATATTGTCGATGTTCAATAATGATCTTGAGAACATTTCTGTCAAAACAATGATGAGTCTGAGACAAGACCAAAACAGTTAATTAACGACCAAGACTCGAGGACTACTACACTAGTACAAGAGTTACACTTCTGAAGAGCAGTTAACTGCGTTGGAGTGATAGCCTAGCCCAGGGGTCAGCAACATGTGGCTCCGGAGCCGCATGCGGCTCTTTTACTGCTCTGTTGCAGCTCCACAGAAAAATTAGAATATTTATGTAAAAATAAAATAATCCTCCTTTGCAGTAAAATAAAGCTCTGCTGATCATTCAACACAGTTTTAACAATAAATGGTCTTAAATGCTGGAGTTAATGTATAACGGCTAATTCACCCTTTAACCCTGAAGGTTGGCACGCAGACTGCTGGTCATCATAGCAACAACAACAATCTAGACTAGCTAACGAAAAGGCAAAGACAAAGATCTAAGACGAACATTGATAATTTGGATGAATGGACTTATTTGCGTTATTTCCTGATACAGGAATCTGCAACAAGAAACTGTCAAAACACAAAAAAGTCGCTGAAGTCAGCCTTGTAAAAATCGTTGAGAGACGTATTTTACAAGAAACTTTTCAACTTTTGCGGAAAAGTTTCCTGCCGGAGATGCGAGTAAAGCGTCTATAACTGAGCTAAAGCTTAAAGCAGAGCAAAGTAAGTCTACATTTTTGTTTATATTATATATTAAAGCCTATACTAACACATCAGCACATACTAAGACATATTTACAGCCAGGATGGTAAAATGGACATAAAATGTTGGGGCTCCCATGGTGGTTTAATTTTTGTTGAAAGGACAAAATGGCTCTTCTTAACATTTGGGTTGCTGACACCTGGCCTAGCCAGTGTTACCCAGTCCAGTACTAATAATCTCTGAACACATCTCTGGTACTCATTTTTGCCTTTAACGTGACTGGACACAGGGTTTCGATCATGAGCTATACGAAATGTTCAGCACTGCTTTTGCAACTGTTTCTGGTCGTGTCACAGCTCCTATCACACGCTAAGGTTCCTTGTTCTTCCAGAGAAACGGGAAAGATAAACTAGGTCAGTTTTGTCTTTCTGTGTATGAGCTCTGTGCTGTGGACATGAAGAACAAATCACATATAGTTTCATAATATGCTTAAGAAAACATATTAAACCTGATAAGGGTAATATTACAGATTAACTTCTATGCTTCTCCATAATCTTTACAGCATGAGTTTGAGTGCATGGAAAGAACACTCACTCAGTCCCTCCCTTCTGGAAAACCAGAGCTGCGCTTTGTTTGTTTTTGGGACCATGATTAGCAAAGTCAAGGAAAAAAAATATGCTAACTCGCATGGAAAAAGCACTGCCTCCTAAGATGCATCTGATATTCTGGCACATTAGGGATGCATCTTGAGGGAAGAACAACAGAGGGTGGAGGGGTCTGTGAAATAAAGGAGAAGGACAAACAGAATGTGTCCTTTCATGTGTGAAACATTAAATTAAAGTTTCTTACTTTCTTTCTTTCTTTCTTTCTTTTATGTCGAGGTGTTCATTTGAAATTGTTGATGTGTAATGTGTGTATATATATATATATATGTGTGTGTGTGTGTGTGTGTGTGTGTGTGTGTGTGTGTGTGTGTGTTTCTTCTCTTTTTTAGTCATCTGCTAGTATTTTTGCTTTAGCAAAAAGTTTAGGTTTACTGAATAATGTGCCATGTTTTGGATTATTACATAGTATGAATTATTGAGTCATAACAAAAACTGGAAATATGATTAATCAGACTGCAATGATTTCATGATACATTCCTCTGTTTGAGAAAAAGGCAGCATCGCTGTAATTTTGTAATGTTCAACCAAGAATATTTAAATGCAGACTGCGTTTAACACAATGGATCCCTTGTGTTATTACTGCTGTCAACAGGTGTGTATGATTTGCATATCTTCACAGACTCTAATCCTTGGCTCAACTGAATGACGGAAAGAGATTTCATATAAACAGAGGAAGTGGTGCCGTGAGTCAGAGGCAGACCTAAGAATATATGCATGTAAGCTGTTGTCCACGGGTATTCTTAATTTCAGCTTTAAAGTGCTCATGAAAACTTAATTATCCTCACTTTTTTGAAACAAAAGAGTTACATATTGTATGTAAACAGTGTTTCAGAAGTTGCCATTCACTCCTCGGTCCACACAGTTCATATATGGAAACTAATGGACTGGAAAAATAGACAGTTTAATGATGTCACCAAATGCAGCACATTTACATATACCCACCTATAGACCTCTGAAGTGTCGTTATTCTGTAGTTGGCATCATGCGCTCTGGATCTATGCTGGATACCTGTAAAACAGAGATAAATGCTGTTTTGGAAACTCAACACTGTCGCATTCTGTGTTAAAAATGTTTTATAAGACTGAAAACCTCACTAGAGTAGAACACTAGAGCAAAATACTCCATGTAAGCCAGCGAGATTTGTCAAATGTTGTAGCTGCTTTGGCCGTTTGAGTAGCTGGTTTAGGTATATAATAGTGTTGAAGTTTCATGCTAGCATTAGCTTCCTTGTAGTGACACTTGGGAGAAAAATGGACTTATCAGACTTGGGACGTTTTAGTTTATCACAAGACACGATAGCAATGATTTTCAAAAACGTCATACATTTCTGTCATAGAGAAATCCAGCTTAGACCCAGAGCTCCTAACATGGGCATGATGCGCAACTTTAGAGGTCTATGCAGCCCATAGCAGTTTAGCTCCACCCTTTCACCCTGACATTATAAGGGGTGTTTCAGCAAAGACAATACAGAGCAGCCAATCAAAACAGAGCTTATTTGCATATATCGGTCTTAAGAGCACAGTAACGCAAACAGCCGGAGAGGTTGGAAAATGGTCATGCTTTGTCATAATGAATTTTGACTACTTTATATTAAACCACTCTAACATTATAAGTGAACACAGGATTGAAAAATAATTAGTAGTGTATGGGCCCTTTATATTTGTATGTAGTTAAGGTCTTAACAAGGAGTTGACCCAACTATACATGACCTGTTCGCAGTGTCAAATAAAATGAATAATAATAATAATTAGTAATTTCATAATCCCAGGCAAAAGCAATCTCAGTACTCATCGCTTTACTTCTGTGTTACTCTCTGAAATATGTCCTTTTAGTACTTCATTTCAAGTCAACTACAAGATCAGCAACTGTAGAATGTAAACTGTAAAGTGTTGCGGTACTTAAGTTACAGGAAAAAGTAATCACATTACTGTTACATGTTACTTTGTACCACTTTATGCCCAACACTGCTAACTGATGACAAAATAGACCCTTGGTTTGACATGTAGAATGTTTTAAAGCAGTTTGACTTTTATATAACAGTCAGAAAAGGATTCCAGTGAATTGTGTTACTTGCATTCACGATAACCCCCTTGAATTCGCAGAGGTGGAACCTCGCCTAGTGTTCTTTAAGAAATGGCTGAAGCCATTGTTAATTACTTCAGTTTTGTCAATTCCTCTTACTTACCTGTGTCTACTATGGTTCACTTCCATAAATTCATGTTTTATGCCCAACACAGGTAAGTAAGAGCGATTGACAAGAACTGAAGTAATCAACAATGGTCGTAAAACAGATTTTTGTCTTGGAAGATGTTACTTTTGAGTTAGTCTCCTTAAAATCAAAAGAGCGAGAAGGATTAAGTTGTGCTGCATGACCACAGTGGTTCAGATAAAGTCAGGTCAACATCTGTGGCAAAAAAGGAGAAGAGAAACTGTTCATTGTCTGACTGGAGGCTTAAACAGACAAGATGAAAGAACTGACTCTTATTCTTGTCTGTCTACATGTGTATGTTCCCTCTGTCTGTGCCCACTCCCCCCCCACTCACACTATTTCTTCCTAGCGTGTATGTCTGCTGCCATGACAGGGAAAGTTCTTAGTCAGGTCCAGACTGGCTCAGTAATACATTACATACCAGCAGATCAGCTGGGAGAAGATCCTCAGGTTCATTTATAGCTGTGGCCTTGTACCCCTACATATCTGCCTGGCAACTCCATGCTCACTGTGTGCCTGTACAAGCCACTGATCCTCACTTTATTACACACGTGCACACCTCGTACTGCACACACACACTGTACTGCCGCACTCACCCTTACTGTGGGCACTCATGCCTAACATGCTTCACACACCCACCTTGTCCAGTTACTAGCCCCAAATTGCATTTGCAATTTACAGCCAGAAATACCACCATGACACATTCTATTCGCAGTTAAGTGCCCTCACAATTATTTTGACACAGTTTACCACAGGACACTATTTAACCTACATACGCCTTCATGATTCACACAGTTAAGTTTAAATACAGACTAAATCAGCATCCCTGATTTGGTTAGCAGGCCATATTTGTAGCTGCTAATTCTTTGCTTCTGTTTATCCAACAGGTCCTAGTCTCCAGCGTATGGAGAAAGCAGGGAAAATGTGGAGCAACCTCAGGAACAGATGTCATACCCTCTTCCATGCCAGCGGCTCAGAGGCCAACGCATGCAGCCTAGACATGGATCGTTTCCACTCTGTGGTGGACCTGAGCCAAGGACCACACACAGGTGAGTCCCAGGCTGCTCGGGACTCTTCCCCTTCGCAGGTTCCTGTGGTAAGAGGGGGACGCCGAGGCCATAACTGCGTAGCCGATATTCCCCAGATTGTAGAGATCTCAGTTGACAAGGAGAACGAGGATGTACGGAGGGTCCCACTCGTGCGGAGGGATTCCTACTCACGCCATGCTCCCTGGGGAGGGAAGAAGAAGCACTCCTGTTCCACTAAAACACAGAGTTCTCTAGAGGCAGACAGGCGGACAGGGCGTTCGAGAGGAGGGGTGAGCAGGCGAGAGCGCTGCTATGGGACCAGTTCCATCCAAGAGGTGAGTGATTCTGGAGGAGGGGGCAGCGGACGGAGCTTAAGTGTCCGCTCTGTGCGCCAGCGACTGAAGGACACAGTAGGCTTATGCCTGCCTATGCCGACCCCCCGTCGCCCCCGGTCGGCCAAGAGCCAGGTTGCCTCCAAGCGCAAGATCCACCTAACAGAATTGATGCTGGAAACATGCCCATTCCCACCAGGCTCCGATCTGGCCAACAAGTGGCACTTCATCAAGCAGCATACAGCACCAGTCAGCCCGCATTCCTCCACAGCGTTACTGGATGCTATTGACCCAGTGCGTGCCTCCCCGGAGGACGAAGAGGAGAGGCTCCGTGAACGGCGTAGACTCAGTATAGAGGAAGGTGTTGACCCACCTCCAAATGCGCAGATCCACACACTGGAGGCCACTGCACAGAGATCTGCCCTGTACAAACTGGGACCAAAGATGGCTCCTGGTTCGAGTGAAGGAGCTGGGGAGGTCAGGAGCTTGGGTGCTGGAACCTCTTTTTCAGGGGGGTTTTCTGGGATAGTGGCACAGGTTGGGGCGAGCATGGTAATGCCATCTCAGGCTGCTGACTGTGACTCTGAGGAGGACTCGACTACTCTTTGCTTACAGGCACGGAGGACTAAGCAGAGGCATGCCTCCGGGGACGGGCACTCCTCTAGGCAGTCAGGACCCTGGAAGGTTCACACACAGATTGACTTTATTCATTGCTTGGTACCTGATCTTCTGGCCATCACAGCGCTTCCCTGCTACTGGGGGGTGATGGACCGCTACCAGGCGGAGGCCCTGTTGGACGGCCGGCCAGAGGGCACCTTCCTACTGCGTGACTCTGCCCAGGAGGACTACTTATTTTCCGTTAGCTTCCGTCGTTACAACCGCTCGTTGCATGCACGCATTGAACAGTGGAACCACAACTTCAGCTTTGATGCGCACGATCCCTGTGTCTTCCACTCCTCCACAGTCACAGGTTTGCTGGAGCACTACAAAGACCCAAGCGCCTGTATGTTCTTTGAGCCGCTGCTCACAGCTCCCCTGCATAGAACCTTCCCTTTTAGTCTGCAGCACCTGGCACGCGCTGCCATCTGCCATCAGACCACCTACGATGGCATTGGTGCTTTGCCGTTGCCACCAGCCATGCAGGACTTCCTCAAGGAGTATCACTACAAACAGAAAGTGCGTGTTCGCTGGCTAGAGAGAGAGCTGCCACTCAAGGTCAAGTGAGGCCTGACTCTGTGTCTGAGAGAGGCAGGAGCTGTGGAGGCAATGGACTGTCAGCCAGTATGAATGTGCATGGATCACATCAACCCTCATTCAACTGGCTTTTAGGCGTGTGGCACAGGGGATGTTTTGAACTGCCAATATTCAGTTGTTTTAGTTAATACTTACTTCACTTGGAATACGCGTTGCTAATAACCAGTGTATGCTTTCGGGCAAGCATGTGTTGAACAGGTTTGAATTGGAATGGTTTCTTCCTCTCTGCTCAGACCATATCTACCGGATCTGCTTCAGCCTGTCTGCTAAACTGCCTGCACTACCCTGCATCCTCTCTGCAATTAAACTCATTTGGAGCAATGAAAGAGTCTTCTTATACTAATTAGTCCCAGATATTCACTCGTAAAACGGCCAGCGTCCATTTAACTTAGTGAACTTACTGAAATAGTTTTAAATCGTTCTAAAGCAAGCCACTCAAGGCTACATGCAACTTCCTTAAAAACTAATATTTACATATGTATTATATGAATTATTTACTAAGTCACAGCTAATTTAACAGCAATAAGTTCAAATTACTATATCCTTCTCAGTATGAAGTTTCATGAGGCAGCGCTTAGATCTCTGAACACTGGGCAGGGTCACAGTTAGACATGCACCTTTTCAGCAAAGAGCTCTTTTTTTAAGGGAGGCACAAATTAACTGCATGTAGAGGAGGAAATTGCCAGTTAGAGACAATGATCATTTCCTGTTACCTACCAGCTACACAGAGAGGAGTTAGACGTAGCTGAACGTGTGCCATAAAATAGGTAGGTTAGTGTTCTAAAATTGGGTTCCAAAGCAGTGTCATCTCTCTCAGCACAGTCACCGTTTTAGTCTGCTGTTACGTTCTGTTTTTTTGAGTGAGGATCTCAGCTGAAAAACACAGGCACTTTGTCATTTGTTTAAAATATATGTGGACTAAACGTATGCAGTATCAGATTAAGATAGTATTATTGATTCTGTGTTCCTTCATCCCTTTATAGGGCATAACTCGAGTTCGTGTCTACAGTTTGCTGCCATCATCTACTCCTATTCAGAGCATGAATCAATGGTCTGAGTTTCATGCTCCTTTGAAATTTTGGGATATGAAGTTGTCTTCATTCAGTCTGTGCAGGTGTTATATTCTACATAACATGTTGGTTTTGCTCTGTGGTTTTTATTTTTGGGGAGGAAAAAAAGTAATATTTCAAGTCAGTTTGAATTGGAAATCATAAAGCATTTTCCTTCAGTTGTTTCTGAGTGAAACATGGTATCAGGGAGGGTCTCTGAGGTAGTTTATTGTTTTTGCTAGTTGATAAATGAGGGTGGTTTGAAAGGGGAAAGTGAAACATGATATCTTAGAGGTGGGCAAAAGTTTTGATGAAAGGTTATGGGAAAAAATGTGTCTTTTTAAATAATATGAAATGAATTGTGCTTAATATGACCGGGGACATGAAACTAACAAGGTTAAAAAAGGTCAATTTTGATTTCAGGTTGACTTTAAAGGAATAGTTTGGTGAAAAATCAAATATACCCGATTTTCCACTTGCCCCAGATGTAGTCGATCAGCCAAAATATGTTTGGAGTGCAAATTCTTCTTCTCTAGTTTAGTACTGGAGCTACAAGGCTAACTAACTAACAAACACTAGAATTCAGTAGTCACCCAAATAGCCTGTATCATTTCTGGAATAATATGTCCTCAAAACCCCAAACCCCAAAAATCTGTCAAACCACATCCAGGTCTTCATTAGGTGCAGACTTGCCAATGTGGTTTAGGGCACAGTATGACTGACTGTGAGCTATAAAAATGAACAAAACTTCATCACTACAGGCAGCCACTTCATAAAATTATGGCTGGGTTTCACAAAGCAGGAGATTCCTTTATATTTGTGACAGCCATTGTCACAAATAGTGATTCTAGATCAGCACTTCTACTCCTGAGTGGTTTGTCAGTACAGACTCTGATGCCTAAAGTCGCTGCCTGTAGTTTTGTACTTTCAGTAAGTCATACTGTTTCCTAAACCACATTGACAAGTCTGCACAACCCTGATAAAGCCCAGGATGCAGGTTGAGTGGGTTTAAAAAGACATTTTGATGATGTATTTTTGCACTACTGTTGACTTCTAGTGTTTGTTAGCAATGTTAGCTTCGCCGCTTCAAATTTGAATTAAAGAAGCAAAATTTGGACTCCAAACGCATCTCAGCTGGGGTACGTGGAAAACTGGGTAAATATGATTTTTCGCCGTACCATTCCTTTAAGGCCTGTACAGTTACCTCACTGTTACTGTCTTCACTGTAGACAAAGCATGAACACAGAGAAATGCCATTTGTATACTTGTTTAAAGTATTGATGTCCTGTTTTCTTATCAATTGTGGTTATTTCCACTTGCGTTGCACTTTTAACCATTGTGAAGCATATACATTATGCTTCCTGTGTCATTTTTGTGTGCACTAAAGAATGAGATTCCTTTAACACTGTAAAAAAAAAAAGCCAACTTAATCGTATAACCTAAGATAGCATATGCTTAATTTGTTGGTATGAATGGTGAATATTTTTGATATGGGACAAATAAAGGCCAACCTAAAGTCAAGTCTTCAATTTAATGTCAAGTTGGAATATCATTTTAACATGGAAAGTTGCTCAGGTCCACTCACCTTATGCATAACGATATATCACAGTGTTGTCCAGTGCTTGTGTTTTTTAGGATCACTGACCAAAGGTGTGTCTCTATGCTTAACCTGTATTAGTGATACTTTCTGCCATGATACTTTCTGCCATGTCCTCCAGACCTTTATCACAGTTTGTGTTGAATGAGCAAGAGCAAGTAAATGCATCGTCAGTAATATCGCTTCTGTTTCAGCTGAAGTCGCAATCAGTTTTGAATGACCGAAGGACTGACTAGAACGGCCCCACAGAAGAACAGATCTGTCGGTGATCTTTGCGCAGAGCCTTTTAGGTTTAGGTGTGGATGTAACAGAAAGTTAGCACCAGTGTTCTCAGTGACAGCATGTGCCTTAATCCATCCATCCCCTGCTTTCACACTCAGGTTCTGTATTTTAGACTGCTGTGCCCTGCTCACGCATATACTTAGGCCTTTCTGTGCTACCACTCAGCAAATGAGTCTCCCCTGGCAGAGTTACACCCTGCCCTGCCCTACAGGCGCTAATCACAGGCTAAATTTACTAAGCTAGCCTCTAAATTTACCACCTACTAAAAGGACCAGTCTGTGTTTCTTGATAGTTTTTATGAAAATATAGAGGAGAGGGACCTTTTTTTTCTTTGCCCTTCCGCCCCAGTCTGACCACATCCTCAGCATCACCCTCTTTTTCGGATACGTCGAGCTGAAAGCAGAAATTCTGTTGTTTGTGTAGTCTTCTTGGCCTCCACAGTGTTTGGGCACTATGCTAAAGTTAGCATTAGCAACTTAGGCTAACACAGGGCTCCATTGAGACATTTTGAGTGCTCTGGTGGCTCGCTGTGGGGAGTTGGGTTGAGGTAAAAAGAGAAAAAAAAGTCTGTCGGTCATTATTTGGTTAAGGCTTGAGAGAATATGTTTGCCTGCAGCCATTGTGGATTTCTGTACACTCCCCCTGCCATTCAGGCATTGTTAGCCGCTTTTGAAATAGTGAAAATCTGTCAGCCATGGCAACAGAGAAGAAAGGGGTCTTTTTCTTAAGACTCTTTTGAACTGCGCCCCATAATTATGATCTAGAGCGGTGGGGTTTTCTGTATCAAACGGTTAGTATGATTCTCAGCCTTTCTGTACTGGGGAGTCTGAGGCTCTTCCTGCACTTTGTTCCCTATGGGAAATGGCATGTGTCAGGCTTTGCAGTACCACATGTTGCCCATATGAACTGTAAAACAGACCCTGCGCCATGAGTACAGAGGAACAGCGTAGGCTCTGTTTCTGTTCACTAGTGATAATGTTTGAGACGCACACCCGATGCTCCATTCTGACCTATAAAAAAGAGAAAAAGTGATAATGAGATGTTTTATGTTAGTAAGAGATTTAAAGATTTATCAAGAATTAATTATAGGATTAATTCTGAGCACCAGTACTGTACGTAGAGCGAGAACTGAACATTTTCAGTCAGCCTACCCTACTTTTGCCCTTAGATTAACCTTAGCTCTGTGCTAAGCTCTGACCTTACAGACTTGGATTTGTACGAAGTATTTTAGAATTAGTGTCAAGGGGGGTTGTATAATACTTTTATGCAAACATATTAACAAAATCATTATTTTTTACATAAATCTTATCCCTAATATGCAATGAGCGTGATATAACCATGGTTGCTATACTGTCACTTTAATGCTGTACGTGCACATTTGTTGCTATATGAAGGCAGGCGCCTTGGTGACAGGGCTTGACAATGATGGGGACTAATGGTTGTCATTCTGCATCCCACACGGCCTTACAAGACCAATCGCAACATCCGCCCCACTGCTACAGGCTGACGAGCTCTCATCAGACAACTATAGCCTAACTCGAATTATGTTCCTCCTTTTCTTTTGTTCTTTTTCTCTTTCCATTAGCTGACGTCAGGCTAGAACTGGAGTGGTTGAGTGGTGAACGTGTTCACTTTTCAGTATCTGTGTTTAAACCCTGCCCTTGTTGTTTCTTTTTTTTTCTTTCTACTTTCATTCTTTTGTCTTCGACTTCATTTTCATTTTGAAAGCCAATGGATACGATGCTTGTAGTTGTCACTCTTGGTGCTTTGCGAATGCTTCATTGTCTTAATATTACAAATAAAATTGTCAAGTGTATTCCTTGCAGTGAAAGGACCCCACATTTATTGACTGTCGGTATCTGCACTGTGTTATGCGCTCATTATGTGGTAAAATGCTATGTAAATGTTTGCAGATTTGGAGTTGTTGTTGCGTTTCATCTTTTTCTGACTCGGATCAAACATGAAGGGTTGACAGAAGTCATACACGCAGGAGTAACCAAAGACAGTTGTAAAAAGCAGTCGTTGCAGTTATTCATTTAATTGGATCTGAAGTGTAATTAAGACTGCTCTATACCAGGAAAGCATCTGGGTTGGCTCCAGAGAGCCTCTGGTTCAGAGACGAGCACGAGCTGGCTTGAGAGGCGCGGTCTGGTCGCCAGTGCTTTATTATTTGTCCCTCTGATATGAAGTATAAATAGTATGTGGGTTATCAGTTTCTCATCAGCCACCCAAAGCTGATGAATAATTCAAGCTGTGCTTTTGACCTGGAGATATGAAAGAGGGAGAATCTCACTCAGTTTTCGCTTACTTCATTTAGCCCATCAGGGTTTTAGGAATTCTTTCAGCACCTCCTTGTGCGGAAATGGTGAGACTTAAGACATTCTGGGCATTTTGTGTGCAGCAGGGATGCTGTATTAGTTTTGGAGGTTCATACTTGAACGGGGCAGTCTAATATATTTTGCAAGGGTCCAGTTTATCGAAGAGAATAATCAATGCAAAATATCTACGCTTCAAAAACAAATAGTTGTATGAATTTAATCATTTTAAGCCCCATTCAACTTAATTTAACACTACACTGAAAAACATGGTGCTGTAAATTTGCATGATGCAAATGTGTCAAATGGTTGCACATCAGCTCAACGCAATTCTTGCCAAAAGAAGCAAACCGAAAGACTGTGGCGTTGATGTAATGTTGTATGTGTGTGCAAAGTTTTAATCATGTAAATTCAAATACTGTTTTTTTCAGTATAAGGAACTGGGTGGTTCACTCGTCATAACCTGCATATGATATAATTTTCATAGTAGTTACTGAATAATCTATAGTGGTTACTGAATAATAAGCTTGGAGATTAAGGTGTTAATTATCCTACACATTTCCATTCAATTCAAGTAGAGAACAGTCAGCACGTCAGCTTTGATAGTTCAGCTTTGGTAGTGAGGGCAAATAAGTATTTAGACTTTTATTTTTTGTTATTTAATAAACGTCCAGAGCATAAATCTGCTTCAAATTTACAAAAAGGTATGTATTCCCAAGAATCAACAAGGTTAGGTTTAAAAGATTTCATTCTAGATAATAACACTACAAATAAAAAATTGGTAACACTTTGGTTGGATAGTCCACTTTCAATGCTTTGTAGATACTTTCAAGTTACATTCAACTAAATATCTACTAAATTGACCATAATTTAACTTTAAACCTGGCTCTAACCCTAACCCTAACTTAAACCCAACCCTCACCCTGGTCCTAGCCCTAAACCTGGTCCAAATCCTAACCCTAACCTCACCACTGTTTAGAATCAACTGAGTTTCAACAGAGTTTATTAACAATTTAAACATCTGTAGATAGTCTATGGGGGACTATAGTGAACTATCCAAAGTGAGACCAAAAGTTTTTTTGCAACTAGTTTGGAGCTCTTTTGAAACAGTGTACTCTGGTCAGACTCTTTGCAAACATTTCAGTTCATCACGTTTGGTGAAAGAAGGGTTGTTTATATGATCCCAAGAACACCCCACCAACAGTGAAGTACGGTGGTGGGAGCATCATGATATGGGGCTGCTTTGCTGCAAATTGTACTGGGATATTACATGTCATCAAAGTGAATGAAGTGATGTACTGTGATACTGGAGGAGAATTTAACCTCATCTGCCAAGAAACTAAATCTGGTTAGAAGACAATGACTCCAAACATACCATCTTAAAAAAATCATTCTTCAAGGGAACCCTTTTTGAAAAGGGTTCTATATAGCACCAAAAAAGGTTTTTCCATTGTTACAAGCTTGATGTAATAATAGAAAATCCCTTTAATGGTTTTGCAGCGAAGTACTAATGTTATGAATTTGTGGTGTGTGAATATTTTTTCCTGCCAATTTTGTTTTTAAACATATCTATTTATGATAGAATGCATATTTTTTGCTCAGAGTCAAAGTTAAAAGAATGTGTACATTTAAAATGGATATGTTCACTGGAAGTAAGTTAAATAACAAAAGCGTAAAAAAAGTGATTGCAGTAAATGTTAGTAAGTCACTTTGTAAGTCGAACGACCCCCTCGGTTCATTTTTTCGTGCATATTTACAGAGCGTGCCATGCTGAATGGGTGAATGAGGTTACATTCTGTCCTAGTTATGAAAGGCCTGTCTCTCATTCATAATGGTCAGAGTGACGTTCCTCTCCGGTATTCCTCTCATACACTTCACGATCCAAATAACCCCCCCACACGTGGAGGAGAGGCCATCTCGCACTCGCAGCACATGCATGCACACTCCACTCTCACACACTGCTGCATATCATCCTGAACTGCTGCAGGATGAGCGAGCGAGAGAGAGAAAAAGACAGCCTGCTGCTCTTCTCACTTTGGATGGCCTCCAAGTCTGTGGCAGCAAAGAGAGAGATGACCTCTCGCTCACCTCGTCCTCACGGAAACGCATGCGCACGCACACACACATAAGCTCCCATCTATATTTCATACCAGAAATATATCCCCCAGACAGTGCTTTACACCCACTGTGGACGGCTGCAGGCTGAGGCTGGGAGGAGGAGGAGGAGGAGGAGGAGGCAGCTTCCAGTGCGCCAACCTGCACACCCGGGCCAAGAAAAACACAGCCTTCACCATCACACCGTCATCTGGAGAAATGTGCCTCACTCCCCATGCTACAGGAGGAGTGGATTAACACCAGAGTCATGCAAAAATATGAAGAATGTTCATCAGTGAGAGAGACAGTAGCCTCTGGTAAGACAATGATTTATACTTAACATGGCTGGCAAGACACCACATTTAGCTTATGCAGCCTATACTGGAAAGTGTCACGAGTCATGCCATCAAACATGTAGAAAGGACCATATTTACTAACATGAATTTAAAATACAACATAACATCAAAACTGAATTCATTCATAGTAAGTACGTACAGTCATATGCAAATGTTGGGGCACCCTGGCAAAATTATATTTTCTAATTGAAAATTAGTGAACACAACTTTGCACATTTTAATGCACAATTACTGTTTGTTTGCCAAATTTAACATATTGGGGGAAAATAAGATGAAATGCAGCCTGTGCACGCTTTAAAAGTAGAACAATTATTATTAGTAGTAGTAGTATATTAGTAGTAGTATATGGTAGTAGTAGTAGTAGTTGTAGTAGAGGTAGTGGTAGTAGTAGTGGTAGTAGTAGTTTTAGTAGTAGTTGTAGAAGTGTGGTGGTAGTAGTAGTATGTGGTAGTGGTAGTTGTAGTAGCAGTAGTTGTAGTAGTGGTGGTAGTAGTAGTATTGGTAGTAGTAGTTGTAGTAGTATGTGGTAGTAGTAGTAGTCGTATGTGGTGGTAGAAGTAGTACGTAGTAGTAATAGTAGTGGTAGTAGTAGTTGTAGTAGTAGTAGTATGTGGTAGTAGTAGTAGTAGTATGTGGTGGTAGTAGTAGTAGTATGTGGTGGTAGAAGTAGTACGTTGTAGTAATAGTAGTGGTAGTAGTAGTTGTAGTAGTAGTAGTATGTGGTAGTAGTAGTAGTAGTATGTGGTGGTAGAAGTAGTATGTTGTAGTAATAGTAGTGGTAGTAGTAGTTGTAGTAGTAGTAGTTGTAGTAGTATTGGTAGTAGTAGCTGTAGTAGTATTTGGTAGTAGTAGTATGTGGCCGTGGTAGTTGTAGTACTAGTAGCTGTAGTAGTAGTAGTAGTTGTAGTAGTAGCTGTAGTAGTAGTAGTTATAGTAGTAGTATGTGGCCGTGGTAGTTGTAGTACTAGTAGCTGTAGTAGTAGTATAGTATGTGGTGGTAGTAATAGTAGTAGTTGTAGTAGTAGTAGTAGTATGTGGTGGTAGTAATAGTAGTAGTTGTAGTAGTAGTAGTAGTATGTGGTGGTAGTAGTAGTAGTATGTGGTAGTAAAACCAATTTTGCTGCAGATGAATGCATAAAAGGATTCTATAATGATACTACTAATGTACAACTTCACATTCATATACACTTCAATTAATTAGCAACCATAAAAACTTTAGGCCTGTGCTGAATGAGGAGCAGAGCTGTGGATTATTCTTTAATGACTGATGTATTACATTGTGAATGAACTTATGATAAAATTAACATCCAGATTTCTTTATGTGTAAATAAAAAGTTAGTGGGAGTCAAATCTCAAGGCAAATTATTTATCTTTTATTAACTTCTTGATGTTCCCACAAAACTTTGAGATATTGCATAAACATTAAAATACATTCTGTGTATGTCTAGCTTATACTGTCAGTATATTATATTATTATACTCAGTCAGGTGTGCTTTTGATTGAATTTAATAAATGCATACAATAGCTGGAGCGCAGTGAACAGTCAGGAACCAGACAGGTTCTTCTAACTAAGATATTTATAAATTTTTATAAAAAAGTTTTATAAAATGTCATGTTTTACATATATACAGTTTTACAGTCAGAAATACAAGACTGCTTAAGTTTAACTTTTTCAAAGGTTACTGTATGTAGTAAAAGTGTAATCTACCGTATAACGTCCTGTACTCCACTGCACCCATCCCAATCAGAATAACCTTCCAGCTTTGATTTCTCATCTTTCCAAAGTGATCTTTCCTCCCTTCTTTTCTCACTATATCTCTCATAGTGCTTTACCATGCTTTGAGCATTGGTAAAATGTTTTATAAGCTCTTTTTTCTTTCATTTTTATTGTATTTGCTTAATAGGCATCTGGTTTCAATGATCAGAATCCCCATCCCCCTATCCACTACCCCCTCTTTTTCTCTCTCTGGTTTTCTCCAGCCCTTTCAGTGTACTGTATCATTGTTGTTTGGCTGGCCTTGCTGTAAACTCTGGGCCTGCGAGCTCTGTTCTCTCTCACCTCCTGC